CTGGATTAAGATTATTTCCTTAAGCTAATTTTGAAAGATTATAATTACATTGTATTATTTGTTCTATTTGATAATCAATAATGATTTGCATATATCATGAAGGGGTGAAAGAAGATAAGCGGATTTTGGATATGTACTACCAGTTATTCGCTTCACAATTATCTCGTGTAGATCAGGCTTTTTTAAATCTGAATTTGGAAAAAATGTTGTAGGCGTTAAGAAAAAAAAAATAGAGATTTTAAAAGAGACCAAACGTAAAAATTCCCCTAAGATGTTTTATCCCATCGGAAAAGGGGGAGAGACGGAATAAAACGGCCACGTGAAAGGAGCACACGTGTGTCTCCCATTGTCGGTGCACAATGACTTTTGCTTCTTTGTGCCCGGGGAAACCGGTGAAAAATTCGGCCGTCATCTGGGCCGGCGGTTGTGCTCTCGGCCCCGGGGGCCACGTGTGCTCGCTCGCTCGTTCTCTCTCTCTTTCTCCTTAGCCAAAACACATGCGAAGCAACGCTGCCACAGATGTCTGGGGAAAAGCTCTCCTTCCCACGACTCTCTGGACAACGTGTTCAACATAAGGGGGGCAGGCCCGGCCAAAAACCTGGCCCGCTTTTTGGATCCAGGAACGGATTTTTCGGCAAAAAGGCCGAAGGAAGAAGCGCCGAAATTCCGTGTTGGCCCAAGATCTGAGAAACACAAGCCTAGTGAGAGAGGCCCAATGTTCAAAACACAAGTCTGCCCACCCTCGCTGATATTTCTGCAATATCAAAAACTCAACCTACCACTGACAAAAACCATAACTTCGGTCCGGCCAGTTTCGCTGTTTACTTCATAAGGCAGACAAAAATCTTTATTTCTTCTAAGAAAGGCGGTTAACTTACGTATGACGGTCAAAACGAGGAGAAACACTAAATTTTGATCAAATTCCCATCACATCTTTAGTAACTCTCAATCCAGCAGAATTTGAATGATCGATTTTTTTCCAATTGTGGCTCAATTTCCGCAATTCGTTCCTCCTTGGGTGTTATCATCTTTGGATTGTGTTCGAAATTATTATATTATTTCTCCGATTTACCGTCAATTTTACTTGAAATCGGTCAAATTATAACAAAATCATTGTTTAAATAATCCTTTAAAATTTTGTCCAAATCGCTTAAGGATAAGATGAAACTTCAAATTTTTGGGCGCCCCTCCACAATTTTAATTTTTTATATCTCTCAGTCTAGTTATAAAATTGTCACGAAACCTTGCCCAATTTATATACAAAATGTTCAAATTTTTATTCAGTGGTAAAACCGAACTTTTCACCAGCCAACCAACTTGTAAAAAAATTTTTTAAAAATATTTTTGTCTAATCGCTTTTCTTGATGCAATGACAAGTTGATCCTTGTACTGTATAATCAAAGTTTTGTCTAATATTCGGGTAATCTTTGTATAAAAAAAATGATCTAAACATAGCAATATCTTTTTTTACTCGATTTCACTTTCATACGGGTTTAGGCGCGGAATTCGGTCGAAAGAGTTAAAGGGTTCCTCAAAGGATGGATCCGCCCGGCTTCGCTCGTTTAAAGTACCTTTCAGGACACCAGCTGGCCCGGTTTACATGTGTTGACCAGCCGGGACTTAAGGGCCGTATCTGGGTTAGAGTCGTCCAGTGTTTTACGGATTTGCCGATCCCTTTCTTCCACGTGGGACGGATTAACAGGATGGAATTATCCAGCCGTCCTGGGATTAACGGTTCGCCCGATAAGGGAAGAAAATGGAAACAATCCGGAAAGGATCTGCACGTGTTTGCTGTTCTATTCTCCCAATGGAAAACCTTTAATAAAAACTATATTTTTTTTAACATAAAAGTTTGATTTATTAAATCCATTAAATTTCGTGGTCCGATTGACCGAATATTGGTTGAGATAAAAAAGCCAGTGTCAGGAGCGGGATTCGAACCCACGACCTTCGGCTTGATCATATTGTTGTTCCCATTTCATCGTGACATTCACGAGTTCGAGAGTTAATATTTTTGTACTTCTTTGCATGTTAAGCCATGCAAAAATAAAATTAACTTATCATTGTTATTTATACACAACATATTAAAGTTTTCAATAATAGAACAATAATGGTAAAACGTTATTGTTTTTTAAGCAATGTAGGGTATTTATTAGCTGAGCCGAGTGACAATTTCTACATGGAAAATCCATAACAAATTTGTTATTTTGCATTGTGACTATTCTGAATCTGTTTCTCGGTTTTCCCTTCCTTGTCCGTGTTTCCCATGGAGCCCGGGGTCCTCAGTGCGTCGCAGATGCCGTGTGGAAATCCGATAAAACATCTGTCAAAAGGCCGGCAGGGTTTTTGAATAAGAAGGCAGAGGGTTGGACGGGGCTGTTGCGCGCCTATGAGAATTCAGCGCAGGTGACCCTGTTCGCAACACCCCTTTCTTCACCCGGACTGGCGCAACCCCTTTTGGATAGTCTCGTGAGACCCGGAGGTCCAGGTGGCCAGCTGAGACCTCAATCTTACAATAAAACAAAAAAAACAAAAAAACCCAGAATCGTCGCAATTTGGAAAGAAATTCAAAATCTTGAATAAAATCAAATTAAATGTAGATAAAAAAGCAGCCCAACCTTTGTTAGATAATCGATGGTCACGAAACACTGGAAAAACACAAAATTTTATTGCTTCTAAACAAAACCCATCTAAACGTTGATAACATGGATAAACACAAAGAACCTGGCAAAAACAAGCAAACTTCTTTATATAATCTTTCGATGAGATAATCAGCTCCATACGTTATTTAAAACCTGTCCGGATCATTTGAAACCGATTGCTGACGAAGGGACAGTTGTCCAAAAATAAAATGTGATTTTGAAAGTAATCCCATTGTAATGCTGCACCGAGCATTTTTTTTAGATGATATAATATCATGAAACCTTCAAAATACGCCCGAGAACTAGTGTACCGAAAAAACACAATCCCAAACCATATCTAACCATCCCTAACCATCGTTAACTACATTTAACCATCCTTAACCACCTCGAACCATCATTAACTACTTTTAGCCATCCTTAACCACCTCTAACCATCATTAACTACTTTTAACCATCCTTAACCACCTCTAACCATCGTTAACTACTTTTAACCACCTCTAACCATCATTAACTACTTTTAGCCATCCTTAACCACCTCTAACCATCGTTAACTACTTTTAACCATCCTTAACCACCTCTAACCATCCCAAACCAATTCTAACCATTCGGTTGTAGAACTTATTTTATGCCACTTTTACTTACTATTTATTATACCCCCGCACTCGTCTTCCATCGGGCATAACTCAGAAATGGTCGATCCGATCAAAATTTTCCTCTCAGTAAAAATGGCTTAAAATAAACTAGAGAATCGAATCGTATAATAAAAATATAAATAATTATTTAAAATTACGAAGTTAGTGTCATTTCCCAGCTAGATGAGAAAGTTACGTTAAATCTGTAATCTCGCCCGGTTCCTAGGCAAACTTAACTTGGGGTTTGAATAAAAAATGTACCCTGTATAAAAAGCGATTTGGCGGATAGGATATAATGTGAAATTTAGATGGCATATCGATCTAGATTTGTTCTAGATTTGTTAGCACCGCTAACAAACAGTGTATAATATTGTAATAATTATATTGATTATGTGTATTAATTATTTTTGTATAATTAAAGTGTAATGTACAAGATTTGTAGTATCCAGTAGGGGAAAATGTATTCAGTACAAAAAAGTAATTTGGTGGATAGAATGTAATGTGAAATTTAGATTGCATATCGATCTAGAAGGCACCGCTAAAAAAAACTATATTATTGTAATAATTGTATTGATTATGTGTATTAATTATTATTGTATAATTAAAGTGTAACGAACAAGGTTTGTAGTATTCAGTAGGGAAAAATGTATTCATTACAAAAAACTGATTTGGTGGATAGAATGTAATGTGAAATTTAGATGGCACATCGATCTAGAAGGCACCGCTAAAAAAAACTATAATATTGTAATAATTATATTGATTATGTGTATTAATTATTATTGTATAATTAAAGTGTAACGAACAAGGTTTGTAGTATTCAGTAGGGAAAAATGTATTCATTACAAAAAACTGATTTGGTGGATAGAATGTAATGTGAAATTTAGATGGCACATCGATCTAGAAGGCACCGCTAAAAAACAGAGTAAAATATTATAATAATTATATAGATTATGTGTATTAATTATCATTGTATGTTAAAGTGTAATGACCAACAAGGTTTGTAGGATTCAGAAAAAAAATGGATTCATTTGAAAAAAGTGATTTGGTGGATAAAATGTAATGTGAAATTTAGATCACATATTGATCTAGAAGGCACCGCTAAAAAACACTGTATATTATTATAATAATTGTATTGATCATGTGCATTGATTATCATTGTATATTAAAGTGTAATGAATTAAGGTTTGTAGGATTTTCAGGAGCAAAAATGATGTGGCGTATAGGATACATCGTGAAATTTAGATGGCATATCGATCTAGAAGGCACAAGTGACATACTTAATGTGTATTAATTAAAATTGTATATCAAGGTGTAGTGTATAATTATGTACGGGTAATAACATGCCTTAGATGATTAGTTATGATTTGATGGACGAAAATAAGCAGATCAGTGTGAACAGTTTTTATTAAATCGGCCTGGTCGATTCGTTAAACCTTATACTGCTAAATGTCATTTGATTTTGTCAATATTTATAGTTTTTGTCCTGATTTTGAAAAACTGTTGATTCTTGTTTAAATTTTCGATAGCTGAAATCCATAACCCGATTGAATTTGACGGCAAATCGTCTCGTTTCCGCGGCCAACGAATGTTTACCAGGCGTAGGTCAAGACTGGTTTTCGTGTGTGGGAACTGATTTTTTTCCAGTCCCACCGTCGTGATTCGCAGGTGTTCATTTCGACTGTTCCAAGGGGGGTTTACGATCGACGGGGAGGACGCGGCCGTGGGAAAACCGAAACCGTGAATGGACGTCCATGCCCGGAAAGGAGGGGACGATGCCGGAGTGGGGCTCCACCGGTGGAAGGGAGTATATAAGCCCCGGGACGTCGAGAGAAGGGATCAGTCGTCACAACGCGATCAGTTCTCTCAGTGTGATAAATATAAAATAATGAAGTCGCAGTGCAGTGTAAGTGGACGAGTGTCGAAGAGGGACCTGGAAAACGAGGAGATCCAGGTGTACCTCTCAAAGCTCAAAGAGCTTGTACCATTCATGCCCAAGAACAGGAAACTATCCAAGCTGGAAGTCATACAATACGTCATCGACTACATCTGCGACCTCCAGGACGCACTGGAAGGTCCCGGACTTCAAGCCGTCATCAGAGGATCACCTGGACATTCTCCGATCAGGCAGCCTCTCGGTGTTTTAGCACCGAACACCCTCGTCACCCCGACCTCATGCTCAACGCAAGAAGCCACCTCCGTAAGTCAAACATATTTCACCACAAACCAAACCCCAAATTCTCAAAAAAACTTTTTATTTATTTTTTGTTCTTAAAAAAAATTCTTACCCCATATTTTCTATTTTATTTACAGGTTCCCGCCTTCATTGAGAAACCGTCCCCACCGGATACAAGACCAGTATCAGTCTAAAAACGTTTTAACTTTTACCTCGAGGTGTTATCCCTCTTTTCGTCTGTGATTATTTTTTTTCCCCTTGAAGAAAATCTTGTCTTGTTCAAAGAAAGAGAGAAAAAGAGAGAAAAAACAAAACAAAAAGACTTTTCTTTTGATATAATATATAAATAAATTTAGCAAAGAGGAAAAATACTTATATATGTATAAAAGAAAATGCTTAAAAAATAAGAAAAATATTGTAAATTATGTAAATTTTATATAACCGACTAATATATTATTGTGACCCCCACCAGAGAAACCCAAGTCGCACTGGTGTAAATTTTTTTCCTTTCTGTGGATAGGCTTTTGTAAATGTCTCCCCTCTGTTCTTTTGCATATAATTTTTTGAATATTTATAAGGGAATTTGAATTGTGTACATAGGAAATTATTATTGTGAGACGGTTAAGAAAAGAAAAAAAATTAAAAGAGAAAAAAAACATATTGAAAATCTTGTTTTTTTGCATTTTATTTTTTAAATACCCCATATAAACCTAAGGTAAGAATTTGACGATTAAAAACAAAATCGTCCTTATCTATTATTTTAATTTAAAAAAAGGTAAGTTTCTTTTATTTTATAAATCTCAGAAAATCAATTTTATTGGAGGAAAGCGTGAAACCCCCCCAGGCGTTTTCACTGGTTCCTATTTTTAGTGACGGGCACATCAAATGTGTCATTTTTGTGGTGAAAAATCGTTTTCGGTATGTAGTTTTTTTTTTGCAAGCGAGCAAGGCCGGAAATACAAGACTGTCCTCGGGTTTTTACGTAAGATAAACGACCAACCGGACAAAAAAATTAAAACAAAAACAATAACAGTTCTAAATAGAAAAGAATAATAGGCCTTTGTGTGTACAATTGTGAATAGCACGAGCCGAAAGGTTTCCGGGAAAAAATCCCAACACGTGCAAGATATCGACGTTTTGACATGCTGACTAAAAAAAGCTCATTTAATGAAAAACTGCATTGAAAAGAATAAAAAAAAACTATTTTGTTACTATTGAGAATAGAACCGGCTGAACGTTTTTTAAGTCACAATAACAAAAAAATATATCACCGTACATTAATATGTTGTTTTTTTTTTTTTTTTTTTACAACAATATTGTCGAGGTGTGAAAGTTGTTTTTGCTTGAATCGACCAGTGATTTTTTTATTATGATTTTATTATTAACCTAAAAAAGTGGCATTTAATTATTATGTTTCGTTTATCAGGTGGTTAGATAAGAAAACAAAAACATGTACATACGTTGATACACATACAGATATGCATACAAAAGGGATGAATATAAAAAAGTATCAATGTTTTTTTTTCTATCCAACTTACTTTTTATATTTCTGTCTATTTATCTATTCGAATTTACTAAAATAGTCCACGACTAATCCAATTATTGTAGAATTAGAATAGGCAACGACGTGCCACTTTGGTTATTTTCTTGAAGCTATTATCACAATCTAAAAGCTATAATAATTCATGAACCATTCGACAAAATACTTGTTATTTTGTCGATTAAATGGTACAAAAACATTCCTATTTTTTTTCGACAGAAACGCGACATTGATATATTTTTAGAGGTGATTTTTTTTATATTGAGCTTTCTTGAATAACCTGATTTTTTTCGTTTTCCACGGCCCATTTCTAAGATCTGTCTGAACAACTACAAATCCTCCTAAAAACAAAAATAAGTTTTAAGATCTTGACTGTTCCAGAATCCGCCTCTCTTAACTATTTTCTTCAAGTCCACGGAGAATAAAAAAAAGTTAAATTCTCTACTGTTAACTTCTTTAATATTTCGCGGTTTTTATTGTCTATTTTGCTATTGCTGCCAGAACAAAAATAATTTTTTCAGTTCTTAAATGTTCCAGAATCCGACAAGCCTTTGTTTATTCTGCCAGGCTCCCGAAAACGAAGGAAGTTTTAAGTTCTGCTCCAGGGTCAATATTTTCTCGTAATTTATTCTGTTAAGGCTATGAAAAGTTTTTTTTAAGTTCTTGGCTGTTCCATAATCCGTTTAATTTTTGTTTATTCTGCAAGATCTCGGAAAACAATTTTTTCTACGTTCTTGCTCCAGGGTGAGTCACTATTTTCGATTAATATTCAGAAACAAAGTCATCCACTTAAGACCGTTTATTTATTTTTTATTCCTCAAAAAAATAGTTTTAAGTTCTTCATTATTTCATAACTCACCTGATATTTCTATCGTCTACTAGGTCTGGGAATGCAAAGGGAGCTTTAAGTTCCTTTCTGTTCCAGGGTCTATTTTCTTGTTTGTTACTACGAAAACGAAGGATGTTTTAAGTTCTTCAATATTGCACAATCCTTTTTCAGACATTAGATGAATTCTGAAACAGTAAAAACCTTAAAACTTTCTTTCTTTTGAGAGGTCCAGCTAAATAACAAACATTAGACGGATTCTGAAACAGTAAAGAACTTAAATCCCCCGGAGGAATAGCAAAATCAATAAAGAACTTAAAACTTCCTTTGTTTCAGAGGTCTAGCTAAATAAAGAAATATCAGACAGATTCTGAAACAGTAAAGGACTTAAATGCCCCCCCCCCCTGGAGGAATATCAAATTAAATACAGATCTTGAAACAATAAAGAACTTAAAACTGAAAACCTTTGTTTTCGGGGATATAGCTAAATAAACAAATAGATTTTTTTACAAATCGCAAAATAAACAAATATCTTGAAACAGTCAAGAACTTAAAACTTAAAAGTTATTTATGTTTTTGGGGGAATACCAAAATAAATAAAAACCTTGTAACAATAAAGAATTTAAAACTTATTTGTTTTCTCTCTTGGAGAATTACCAGAATAGGCGAAGTTTGAGTTTTAAGTTCTTTATTGTTTCAGGGTCTGTATTTTCTTGTTGTTTGTTGCTACGAAAACGAAGGATGTTTTAAGTTCTTCAATGTGCAAGAATCCTTCTAATTTCAATTAATTAACATTTTTATGTAAGGTTTTGATTGAAATGAAAAAGCTAGTGTCACGTGCGGGATTCGAACCCACGACTTTCGGCTCAATACGCCGCTGCTGTAATCACTTGAGCTACCGTGACAATTGATCCGAAGGTCGTGGGTTCGAATCCCGCCCGTGACACTAACTATTTCATTTCAACAAAACCTTACATAAAAATGTTAATTAATTGAAATAAGTAATTTTGTCAATCAGACCACTAAAAATAATGGAATTCTTTTAATATTTATCTATTCTGCAAGTCCCCTAAAATAAATCACATTTTAAATTCTTCACTGTTTCAGAATCCGTCCAATCTTTGTTTATCCTGCGAATCCTAGGAAAAAAAGTTTTAAGTTCATTTCTGCTTCAGGATCATTGTTTATTTTGCTAATAATTTAATAAAAAACACGAAGTTTTAAGTTCTTTAATAGTCCAAAGTCTGCTTAATGTTTGTTTATTGTTCTAGTCCTACGAAAACAAAGTATGTTTATTCTAATTGACCTTCAAAAAGAAAGGATTTAAGTTCTTTATTGTTCCAGTATCATTGTAAACTTAGTTTATTCTGGTAATATCCCACGATAGAAAAAGTAGGAATTTTTAAGTTCTTTACTGTTTAAAAAGTCAAGATCTTTACTTATCTTACTATTCCTTTGAAAACAAAAATAACTTTTAAGTTCATTACAATTTTCTTACCCTCCAAGGGTCCATATTTTAGTCTTGTTTATTTGCATAGAGCCTGACAAACGTGAAATTTTAAGTTCTGGACTGCATCAGGGTCATTGATTATTTTGCTAATATTTCGAGATAAAAAAACGAAGTTTTAAGTTCTTTAGTGGTCCAAAGTCTGCCTAATCTTTGCTTATTCTTCTAGTCCTCCGAAAACAAAGTTTGTAAGTTCTTGTTGTGCAAAGGACATCAAAAGAAGTTTTAAGTTCTTTAACTCCCTGGGTTCGTATTTCGAGACTTCGAAAAGAAAAGACTTAAGTTCTTTATAGTATCAGTATCATTATAACCTTCATCTATTCTGGTAAAAGCCAGGGCGGAAAAAATCGGATGTTTTAAGTTTCAAAATTAAAATCTTTATTTATTTTACTATTCCTTCGAAAACAAAAATAACTTTTAAGTTCTATACTATTTTCTTATTCTACAAGGGTCTATATTTTTGTCGTTGTTTATTTTCATAGAGCCTGACAAACATGACTTTTTAAGTTTTGGACTGTTTCAGGATCATCGTTTATTTTGCTAATACTTCAAGATAAAAAAGCACGAAGTTTTAAGTTCTTTACTATTTCAGAATCCTAGTTTAATTTGCTTATACTCTGAACACAAAGAAAATTTTCAATTTTTTATTTTTTAAAAATCCGCCTAATTTTTGTCTATTATGGTAGTGCTCTAAAAAACAAAGGACTATTAAGTTCTATACTGTTACAGAATTGTTGAATACTGTTGCTAATTGTTTTCTATTCTGCAAATACTCGGCAAAAAAGAAGGAATTTTTAAGTTCTTTATTATTTCAAGATTTTAGTTAATTTTACCGATACGTACTTCAAAAACATAGAAACGTAGTTTTAAGTTCTTCACTGTTCTACAATTTGTTTATACTTGTTAATTGTGCTAAACCTCCGAAAAGAAAGGTTGTTTTGAGTATATTCTTTTAGGCGGGAGGACGGCATATAAATAGCAAGATTATACGAACCTGAAAGTTAGTTTGACATATTTTCTTAGACAGATTTCTTTTTGTATAAGGTCTTCATATCGGAAATAAATGTTAAGTGAATATGTTCTGATTTGAGTTCAAAAGAGCAGAGAGAATGAAGTAAATACAGGACAGAACTTAAAACTTGTTATTGTTTTCTATGGTCTAGCAAAATGAACAGACCTGAAAGATTTTTTTTGGTTGTAGGTGTGAATTTTTGTGTCTAGGTTTTTACTGGTTGGAGAAAAGCGAGGACAGGCGAACCCTGGGATTGAATAGCTTTCATTTTCCTTTGTTGTTTTTAAGGAGGAGGGGAGATTTGGGAGAGTGAACAGCGAGATCGGACGGATCCCGTGTGTCATTATTACGCCAGGTCGTATATTTTTCGTATATCACCGGTCGTGAAATGATTTGTGAAAATGTAATAATAAAACCGTGTTCCTTACCATTTTGTCGACGGTGGGGAGAGCCAGGAAGACTGGGAAGGGGGCAGAGGTCTTTGGTGTCCTTCTGGACGGACGTAGCGCCGAAAAAATCACGGCAACTTTCTACCGTGCCATTGAATGGTACAGGTGTTCGTACAGTCTCGCCAGGTAGAAAATGGTCTCTGACCACACCGTCGCCCCGGCTCCATTACCATCGCTAATTCCATCCCAGACGGACTTGGACCCGACGGAAAAAAGAACAAAGTCTGTCAACGGTTATTTCACTACTTTAAATATTTGTAAACGACCACAAGAAAAACGAATCACGTAATATGTCGAAAAAGGTTTAAACAAAATCAATACATCG